AAATTTAGCGACGTGGTAATAAGATGTGTCAAGTCACAAATGTATATATTATTTTATGTGCACAATTTTCGAGATGCGATGGACTATAGTTAAACGAGTGAATACAATTTAATCTCACTAATAACAATTTTTTTTTTTAATGTCTTAAAAATCACGCGTTCCCCTCACCGATCCGGATTTGTATCGTGTACGAAGCTTATTTTTTATGTAAGCCGTCCGGATCGCAGTGAAATGTGAGCTCTAGTAGTCTGGCAACGAATACATCTGTTGCTGACGAGTAGGGCTATCTTGTAGGAGGGGAATGCCTGGAAAAAGAAACGAAAGACATGGTCAATAAAACGAAATAGAATAACAATTGTACAATGTTATGTTATAAGTAATGATAATCGTATCCCTGCAAGTGTAACGTATCAATAGGTTTTATGAGTTGGAGTAATGTCGGACACGATAAAATAACTATCTATATATGGCGTTCTCAGGACCTGTAAACGGATTCGGATGGGAAATTGGATTGAAAAGGGGACTACTATCCTAGGACAACAATAAAACTGAAATAGGTTGAAGCACTATTTTTTAATTTTTTTTTAAATTTTGCGAAAACCGGCGAATTCGTGAAGTAGAAGTACATTTCGAGAGAACACGCACAGTTATCGAAACCGGTTCCCGTGTGGGCAGAGAGTTGCGTGATGGGGAATGCGCAGAAAAACCGATTACCGTCGGCGTGTTCTCTCGCTGAACCTAAGTATGGACTATTGAAAACGATTCAAATTGCCATCTATGGCTTTATAAAAATGTCAGGCCCCAAATCGGCACGAACAGCCACGAAAAGTGTACAGGAGAAGAACGGACAGGATGCGCGATTGACGTCGACTTACGATTCACTAACAAAATACGACATTACTATTCTGTGTTATACTCACGTAGCGAATCTCAGAGGGACGTGTTGTCCATGTCGACGGTGGACGGCCGGCGACCCGCGATGCTGTCCAGCTCGCGATCGTGCAGCGGGAACAGCGTCCGGATGCTCTTGCGCTTGAACCGCATCTTGGCATCGTCGCCCACYTCGACCGTTCGCTGGCACAGGATGAGCGTCAAGCACGATATGACGAGCATGACCACCGGAACCACAGACGCCACCAGGAACTCTTTGTACGTGCGGCCCAGGTCGAACCGGACGACGGCCAGCTCGGGTATGCCGGTGGCGTAGTAGCACCGGAACCGGGCTCGAGCGTTGTGGTCGGAACCGTCCTTGCCGAACCGCCGGATGAACACGTCGCACTCGCCGCGGAGAGTGTTCACGCAGCCCTCCAAGTTGATGTGCAGATGACTGTCCTTGGCGATGAGTAGCTTGTGTTCGCGAGGCGCCACCGTGTCACCGGCCACGATTGGTCGRTCGCTCTGCGCGTTCAGGTTGGTCAGGTGCGAGAAGTTGGCGAAATCGGCTAGCACGTCCTGCCGCAGTAGCGACCCGTTGACGCAGTCCGTGGCCAGCAGGTCACCGGTCTGTCCGCCCAGCACAACGCTCATGCACGACGCGATCATCACGTCGTCCTGTTCCTCGGACCATATCCGCCGCCGCCGTTCGGTATCAACGACTGCGCCGCCGCCGTCAACTTCCCGCGGTAGCGGGTCGCCCTCCATGTAACCGGGTAGGTGCGAGGCCGCGTCGCAATGCGCCAAGAACGTCCGGTCGCCGCTYAGCACGATCACGTTCTTGTTTCTGGTCGGTATGTCCACGCACCGCCGGTCGCAGTTATACGGCTCCAGTATGCGACTGCACTCGCCGCGAGTGCAGCTGTTCAGGCCCGATATGGACATGCACGTGATTTTGCCCCGGTACTCGTTGCACTTGAGCGGCAGTTCCGTGTTGCGGAACTCGCACCGGAACGCGTCCGTGATGTTTATGCACACGCCGTCGGTGCAGTTGAACGTACCGGTCAGCGTCTTGCACTCGTCCCGGATGCACGTATACCGCTTGGCGTTCTCCGGGTCGAACCCGAAGCACGTCTTGTTGACAACGTGCGAACAATTGTGCAACAGCAACGCCGACCCGTTCTGCCGAATGTTGACGTAGATCTGCGCGCAGCCGCCGGACGGCTTGCTCAGGCACCAYTCGCTGCACGAGCTCCAGTCGCACTTCTGCGACGACACGTTCCTGGTGGTGGTGCACACCACCGGGTCCTCCGATATGCCCGACTTGAACTCCCGCATGGTGGGCATGTATATGGCCACCGTCAGGTACACGATGGCCACGCTGCTCAGCACGGCCGTCATCTGGCACACGCATATCGTACCGCATATCCGGGTGTCCTGCGGCGGCACCACCAGATCTTCGATCGGTATCGGTTTCTTTTTCGGCATGACCGCCGGCTCGACGACGATCGACGACCAAGGTGGACGTGTTATATTTTTATATTAAAATATTACCGCGATATCCCGTGGTCGTGGTCACCGTTTGAACTTGTGTTTAGCCACGGCCACGACGACGACGACGACGACGACAACAGTGGTACAAAACACCCCCCGTGCGCGACACCGCCGGGCGAACGCGAATAAAGAGGCCAAACGGCGTGTTGTGCACGCGCAGTTACGGTGGCGCGGCGGCCGGGGTTCACCGTCGACGTCTAACGGACCGGCGCCTCGGAATCTAGACCGCCGCGCAAAAATCAATAAATCCAGGCCGTCGCGCGAACTGATAACCTCGACGCCGACATTCGTTATCACGTGTTGTTCGGCCGTGTTTTCTACCCGGTCGCTGATAACGATTTCGCGTCCGTCGTCCGCGGTCGGCCTTGGGTTTTCGGTTTTTTCGATTATCCCCTCTCCGCCGCCGCTCGTACACTTCCGGCCATTAGTCGGCGACATGTTTTCGCAGCAGTCGCCATGCGTTTTCCGGG